TGAGCAAGCTTCCTACGACGGCRTCTTTCTGTGGAAGATAACGGACGTTGGCAGGAAGCTACAAGACTCGGTGACGGGAAGAACAGTCAGTTTGTATTCACCAGGTAACGAGCCCGACACATCCGTGCAGTAGCAAAACTCACACCTTTAGAAAACCCTTGCGGCCCCACTGCCACCACGTGTCCCCTGTCCCCAGGCTTAGCCTGCCTGGAGAGTAACTGGTCACCTTTGCCCAGGTATAAGGTGTTGGAACCACTGCCTTAGGTTGCTTATGGCTTGAAATCTCTGGATAGACTGATCTGTCTGCTCTCTCCATCCCTGTGATATCAGAGCACGTCATGCTCTCTCTCTTCTCTCGTGTATCAGGACACAACTTTGGTCTGTTTTCAAAGGAGTCTTTGCTAATGAAGAGTTCTGATTTTCAGCTTTCTACACCGCAAAGTACGGCTACAAAGTCTGCCTGAGGATTTATCTGAATGGGGATGGGACAGGGAAAGGGACCCACGTGTCTCTGTTCTTCGTTGTCATGAAAGGGGACTATGATGCTCTGCTTCCCTGGCCATTCAGACACAAGGTGAGTAGGAGGGGCTTTTTGTGCTTGCATGGCTAAAATGAAATATCCCCAATAATTCTTTTTTTTTTTTTTTTTTTTTTTTTTTCCCTGTGGAATCTCTTGCTATCCCCTGGAAAGGTTTTTCATCCTGTGAAAAGGCAGCCCTTTCAAGTCTGATCCTAGCAGACAGCCAGTACTTCTCCCATTGATCTCGAGAGGATTTTTCCTGTTGTAGTGGAAGCTGAAGTGTTTTCCCATTTTTCTCCCCTGTGGCTATAAGCTGTGCTCCGATCTTGGATAACAGCTTATGTGTGAGTGGGATGTGCCACACGCAGGAATGCTACTCCCACTGAGACTCCTCACTGTGCTTTGAAGGGTGTTCGAACACCCAGAATAACCCTGCAGGTTCAAGGTGGATATAGCCCAACCTGTGTCCACCTGGGGTTAAGCCACAGGCATTTCTTTTCCTGGCCCTTCCTRTATATGGGTGTTATCAATTTATAATTTGCTACCTTAAGCACAGATGTCAGAAATGGGAGGTTAAAATTGCACTTACAGATGTCATAGATGTCTTACATGATCGTGAGCAAGCTCCTTACCCTGCTGTTATTTTTCTCATTATATAAATGCCATCCAGTAGTGACAAAAATAGAGAAAATGCATCAGGATCTGATCTCCACTTTAGCATTTACCTTTACGTGGTAATATTCTGAAAGAGAGCCTTACTGCTGTTTAGTAGCCAAGGAAAATAGAAATCAAAGTTCAGAATCCTCATTGTATTAACRTATTATATATATATTTCATATTCCAAGTTAAAGAACAGTGAGATAATAAAAGTGATAATGAGTTGGGGAAATTCTAGCCTCATATTTAGGTTGTGTCTGCTACATGTTTGCATACAAAAATTGAGCTTTTTCTTTGGATTCCAAACCCTACTAACAGCATGAATGTAATGACTGTAACCAAACTTGTGGTTTGTTTGAATTGTCAGGGGAGAGAGGAAAAAAGTCTTCGCACGGTGCAATTCTCTACCAAGAAATAATTCCTTACATTATTTTATGGGTGGCAGAGTTTTAAATACTTCATCTGGGAACAATTACAATCTCCCCTGTTCACGTTAGCTGACCTTGCAGGTTGTGAAACTTTCATTTCAGTTTGCATTTAATTATCATCTCTCCTGAATCCATCCAGCTGCTTTTGCAGTGTGTTTGTACTTCTGTCTCTGATATATTCTGGTTTATTTTTTAAAGCAGCAACTCCCCATTGCTGCATGTGCTCCGTTGCTCTCTTCCAGGTTACGTTCATGCTGCTTGACCAGAACAACAGAGAACACGTTATCGACGCGTTTCGCCCAGACTTGATGTCTGCTTCGTTTCAGAGACCGGTGAACGACATGAATGTGGCAAGTGGTTGTCCCATGTTCCTCCCCTTGTCCAAATTACAGTCGCCTAAATACGCCTATGTGAAAGAAGACACACTTTTCCTTAAATGCATTATAGAAACAAATTAGTAAATTTTGRAGTATGGAGCTGGCGAAGCACCCTCTGAATGTCACCAGTTTACAAAGAAAGAGCCACGGCTTGTGGCTTGTTCCTGCCCATCTCCTGCGCCTCCCCGGGCACCCCTGGCTGTGCGGAGCGCTGCTCTCCTCCRGGTTGGCTTTTCAGGTCTCGCCTTCCCAACCTCACAGCATCCTTTTAAATAGTTCTGGTGCAGTATCCAGTTCCAAGGGGAAAAACAAAGCACATAAATATCTATCAAAGCTTGTTTGAGAAGGACCTGGACATTCTTTGCTGTTGCATGCACATGGAGGCTCCCTCCGTCCTCCTCCTCTCCCTTTCTCTCTTTTTTTTTTCCCCTATCTCTATATTTATATTGTTCTTTCAGGAAAAATAAAAAAAGTTATTTTCCCAGCACTGTACCCCCAGACCCTCTATTGGCAGTTTTATGCTTAGGAACATTATGCTCTTCATGGCTATGTACTTTTGACAAGTGCTGTATTTATTACAACCATTCATGTTTTCTTTTACCATTTTATTTATTTCCTAAATAAAGCTAACTGACTTAAAAAAAGGGCTTGGAGRTTATTTTATCTTTAAGGCAGGGAGTAGCTTAGGGTCCCCATAGGAGCCGATTGCTGTAGGAAGAGCCCAGCTGCTGCTGCCAAACTCGCAGCCCCGTCCTCCTGTTGCCAATGGAAGTTGGTGCCTTTCTATGGGGCAAGGATCGCCCCAAAAAGGGGCTTCTGCTWGCTGGGAAATAAAATAAATGGCCACGAGGCAACATGAAGGTGCTGCAAGGGCTTTGGGCTGCCTTTGGCTGCGCTTTGCCCCTCTGGAGAGCTGCAGGAAGCGGCTGCAGGAGGCACCTGGGCCTGGCAGTGAAGCACGCGAAGAAAGTCAAGTTTAAAAAAAAAAAAAAAAAGAAGGAAAAAGTTTGTGTTGCTTTTTTGCAGGACAGGGCGTTGCGGGACATGATGTGGCACTGTGTGGCACGTCAGGGCACGGCGTGGGCCATTTAGCTTCACCCCCCAAGAGAAACGTGAAGCAAGGGAGGAAAACGGCCTTGCTAAGCCCCTGTCCGGGAGCTCCCGCTGCTCCTGGTGCTGAGGAGAGGGAAGGGAGCAGCACCCAGCCCCGTGTGCCCCTCGCGTTGCTGCGCGCTGCTCCGGAGCCACGTAGGGAGGTCTCGTGTTTCCCTGCTGAGAGCCCAGCGGGAAAAAGCCATTCTGAGGTGAGGGAGTTGCACAAAACTGCTTGTTTTTTGTCTCAGGGCCACCTRTTTGTGAAGCAGCAGCCCCAGTTCCCCAGGTGGCACGAGCTGCACGTGGAGGGGCCGCGGTGCCCAGGGCTCTGGAGGAGCCCGGATCAGCCTCTCCCGCCTAAACAGCCCGGAAAACATTTGGTTTCTGGCGGTGCTCTCAAACAAACAGCAAATCCTCACGGCTCCTTCTTGGCACSGAGCGAGGCATTTTTGCCATGATTGATTCTCCTGCGGCCATTCAGAGAATCCCCCCCTAGTTCTGGGAATCGTGGGAGCGCGGGTCGTCCCGCAGGCGCCAGGGGCCCCGGGGGGCCGGGACACGCAGGTGCCCACGCGGGTGGTCGGGGAGCCTCCGCGGAGCAGGTGGGATGGGGTGTCCTGGGGTGTCCCCAGTCACCCCATGGGCAGCTTGCGGACACCTCGTGCAGAGCAGCTGCCCCGCATGGGGCAGTAGGTCCCCCGGGGGGRCAGTTTGCACTCATCCACACAGGGCAGTTTGCAGACACCCCATGGGGCAATTTGAAATCACCCAGGGGCAGTTTGTGGGCACCCCATGCACAGCACGTCCAGATGCCCCGCGGGGCGGTTTGCAGATACCCTGTGCAGGGCAGATACTCTGTGCAGGGCAGTTTGCACTCATCCACACAGGGCAGTTCGCAGACA